GACACATTTTCTTTATATATATGTCCATCTTCCACATACATTTTCCCAAAGTCTACAAATATGTGTCAGTTTTCTCTTTCTGTTTCCCCTTGCCCTTCTTTTTTGGCTTGGCTCATCTCTCCCTTCTCTGTTCCCCTTGTCTTCTTTCATCCTCACCCTTCCTATGGGCATCTTCCTGCATCCTTCAATGTCATCACCCCATTAATATAATTCTATACAGACTTGCAAGAATGCAAACACAGAGATTTTTATTTTATGTTTTACACAAGGAACATTGCATTATGTGTACCTGCCTTCATCTTAATTTTCTCATTTAATTATATTCTGGGAAGACCTGAATCACTTGGTGTAGATCCACTAGCGTCCCTACTAAGGCTACACAGCATTTCATCCTTTGGTTATTCGTGGGTCCTTAAATATTGCCTCACTTAAGGGCGTTGATTTTCTCTCATCCTGGACTTCTGTTTTGGTCCCACAAATGATATAGAAATAAACAGCCTTATGCATCTGTTTTCACACATGGCTGTTTAATTTAGATGAGCCGGAGTCGCAGAGATGAGCCCTGCTATGTCAAAGGACAAATACTGTCGATGAGATTGGGCATTGTTTAGTGACTCTTGTGTCTACCACTAGTGTACGAGAACATATTTCCTTCCCTGTAGCCATGGGTGCCATCTCAAGTTTTGTAGCTCTCTGGGTGTGGCTAAGACAGTCTTTTGTAACACATCATGTGCATGTATTGACTTCCAGTGACTCTGACCCTTCTTCTCCTACGGTTGTCGGACATCACTTTATCATTCATTCACTCTGAGACCAAGATGGAGGTTCAGGCCAACTTTGATCTTAGGAACTGACTTCCCGTTGGGGACTGCTTGAGCTGCCAAGGGCCTGGCTGTACCTGCTCTTAGTTAAGCCCCTGGGAGAACAACACCAGGTCCGTCTGCCACAGCTTTGGACCTCTCAGAGTATTCTAGACTCAGCCGTGCAAGTCTGGCAAGTCCTTGTGGTCCAAAGGAGAAGCCTCTTGTGTTTGAAGATGAGAAAGGACCACAGAATAACTGCTACTTCCTCTACCACCACAGTTCTCCCCCATCTATGTCTCTAATAAAGTAAGGCGCCTTACTTTATTAGAGACATAGATGTGGGGGGAGCCTGTCTTTCAGAGAAAGGACAAGATTCTAACATTTAGCAAATCTCACAAAAAAAATAGGCATGGGAAGAGAGTTTCCCCTGCTACCAAGTTAATGTCCCTGCAACTACTTGTGTTCCACACACTTAATGTGTCCTAAACTAAATGGGTGCAAGCCAACAGTGTTGTTGACAGTGCTTGACGATCGGAACAGCACTTTCACTATTGTGTTGGGAGAGATGCCAGTTATAAATGGCAGCCCAGCCTCCAGTGCACAGTGGCCGCCTACCAGTCACAGGCAGGAGACTGCCTTTCCTTTGTCCTGTGCTGGACCGACGCCACGCCCTCATAAGTACATGGGGGTCCATGCTGTGTTTATGATCTCAGAGCAGTGAGTGCTGCCTGACCTAACCCGAAGACCCGAAGGCATCATCCTTGTTCAGTTTAAACAGGATCTTACTTGTTTAAACAAACCATCTCAGCTTTAGAGTCGCAAAAGTGCTTCAACCGTGAGCTCTGTTGGCAGAACGATTTAGATGATAATCAAGGAAACTTAACTAAGCAGGGTCAATAATTCTTCCCTCTTTTTGATAAACATGAAAACTCCACAGTAACCTGATCTGTGATAAGCCCTGACTACAAATGCTAGCACCGAGAGGCACGCCTGTCATGGCTCACACACTCATATTTCCACAGACGCAGGCATACACGCGTGTACCATGCTCGCCTCAAGTAGCACTCGCAAAGTTTAGGTACTCGGAGACATAAGCCCATGCCTTACCTGGACATGGCAGCTGCAAACTCATCAGAGTTCTTGGTTTTCTTCATCAAGGCCTTGCCCTCAGGGTTGAAGCCGTACACCTCCTTAAGGGTACACTGGCTGGTCCTCATGACGAAACTGCAGAGTTGGGGGACCTCCAGCTCTACCTGAGAACGGAAAGTAGTGACACACTGAGTTTCTCCACCCAGAATGGGGGACATCCATGCAGCCCAGTCTCCAATCAGGAAACTGAGGGAAAGCGTTGAGAACATGGTCATCGAGTCCCCAGTACCACACATTCTAAGCACATCTCATGCGTCCCTAGGCTTACGGCTCACCTTCCTGAGTTAAGAAGTTTATGAGTCCTGGCATTGGTTTTAAATGTACTCATTTTACTTATAAAGAATCTGGGGTGACTGCTTAGGAGAAATGCACAGGGGAGTTAAGAAAACAAAATGAAACAAAGCAACAAAAAGTAGCAAGCAGGAAAAGCAAACGTTTTCCCACAGATATTCCCTCAAACTCTACCCACAGGAGCCTGCTGAAAGCATCAAACCTGGGCAGCTCAAAACTGGTTCTTGGTTGTTTTCTGGAGCTATTCAAAGAGCACTCCGGCACGACGGAGAAGCTCTATGTGGGTGTCATCTAAAGCAACTGCATGGGCCACAGGTGGATGTTGGCTATACTGAAATATCGCTAGTGAGAGTAAGAACTGAATTTTAAATTTTATTCAACTTAAACGGCCACTTGTGGCTAATGCCCATCTGTGTGTGTAGATCAGCACTGTGGCCCAAGAGGGAAAAGACAGCTCAGCAAAATGGGCTCCTCCTCCCCGCACAGACCTCAGTAGCAGCCAGGGATAGAGTATGTCTCTCAATAAGTAACATTGCATTTTACCAAATCAAGTACTTTCAAATTCTCCATATTATGTTTGACATCAGAAAAGCTGCATGTTCTGCGCTCTTGTGCAGTAACTACCTTCTTTGGAGTCCTCACTGGCCTCTCTCATGGTCAGACCTACAGGCTGATCCTGTGGGCCTCCTAGACGGTGACCAACTTGGAAGACATGGCCAATACTTTGCAAGCTAACGGGAGAATAATCTGTCTGGAATTTTTTTTTCTGTGGCAGTTTACTCATTCCAGTGACTTATTGTAGTTTGAAGTTCCAGCATACACTGGGAACTGCTGGACCGTTCTCTGAGGGGCCCACGGTGGGACAAGGCTCGGTAGCTGCAGGTCCTTCTCGCCCTTATCCTCCATACCTTGCAGCTGATCTTGGCGGCGCTTCTGGAATCAGCAGTGCCCCGGATGCCGCTGGAACTCTCTGCCTCATAGTTGTACACGTACTTCCGGAGGTGCTTGAATCGGGTTGCATCTTCTGAAGTGAGGAGAAAATACGTCAGCCCTGAAGCTGCAGCAACTTTCTTAAGGCAGCTACTGCTGGACAGAGAGGGGCAGCGGCAGAGGGAATGAAAGTGGTGGCCAAACTCAAGTCACTTGCAGTTGACTTTGCATTATGCTTAATTTGTCTTTATAGATTAACATCGGCACCTTTTTTTTTTTTCTGAGTCTGCTTTTTAAATTATTTGGGATTCTTTAGATAATCTAAAGTACATGGAAAGGAGGGCACTAAGTATCAATTAGTAGAGCTACACAAATCTGTAGAAAGACACTTTGAAAAATTATTAAAGTTATCAAAGGGATAAGGCTAAGCGTTTTCTCCGTGTGAAGATGATGTCCTGATCTGACTTTGAAATGCCTGAGACAATGTTAGTTGTTAGGGCTGTCTAGTTGACTTTTGGAGACCCCCAAGAAGAAACTTCTGGAAGTTTCTTTCCGCTATGCTTGATAGGAATTTTCTGATTGACTTGAGAAAAATAACTGGCTACGAATCCAGATGTACTACTGCCAAATGATCACCAGATGGCGGTGCTGCCCCATGAGAGGAGAGGCCAACCCTGGCGTGCTCCTGAGAACACTGCGTATCCCTGCAAGTACTGATCCTGTGACCCGGAGGGTCAGGTAAATAGGAAGGGGAGGAGGGGTCTGGAGTTCTGCACAAAGGTTAAAGTCGGCATTTCCTCATCTTCACATACTCGGAATCAATGATTAAGTCCGTGATAAACAGCACACTAATGTCTTCTCACAATGCCCAAGGTCTCTCTCTTCTCTACCCCACCTCTGGACCAAGCGCTGGAACAGGACAGAAAGGACATATAGAAAGTCTCCTTCCCTTTGCAAAAGGAAATTGTGTGCGCAGAGACACAAAACCTTGGCTTCCAGGGGTCAGAGCAGTGTCCCCTAATCTTAGGATGTGGGTACTGTGTGGAAGGAGGGCCCTTAGGAACAGGGGCAGAGGAGGATGGATGGAGAGGAGAAAGAGAGTTGGAGGAGCCCGGCGTGCGCTGTGAGGAAATGCCTTACTTGGACAGTTCGAGCTGGAGCTTTCCAGGACTTCATCTTCTGTAAGAGAAAAATTAAACCTTGGCTTTCTGGTGTTTTCCGTTGTGCTCCAGGAGCTGACAGGATGGACCTCTCAGAGACCCTAATTATTTTAGGGCTCTTGAGAGTTTTTCTAGCTCTCCCATCCCCGACTCTCGCCTGGGGTCCGGAGTAGCCACCTGCTAGCTCTAGTTCTCACCACCCCTTCCCTAGAACCCCTGCAGCTGCCCTCCCCAAACCCAGCCACCTAGAGGAGGTCTCCCTGCCACCGGTGTCCATTCCCTGATGCCACAGCCGAGGGCTCTGGTCCCACCCTGACTTCCTCCCCGCCTTCTCCCCTCACTCACGAGCCCAGACGCCGGTGTCTAAGCACAGTAGCACGAACAGCAGTAGCAGCGGCGACCGCACCGCGGGCCTCCGTGGGCCCATGGCCGGTGGATGGGTGGGGTGGTACCCTGGCTTTGGCCTGGCCACGGCCTAGCCCCGCTGCTCTTTCCGCAGGCTCTCTCGAGGTGGCACCCAGACAGGTTCTCGATTCGCCGCAGGCACTGCTGGGAATGCCCGGCCACCTGAAAAGCGCTCCCTTTATAGGAGGCCCCGGCTTAGGGAGACTTGCCAAAGGTCCAAAGGGCATGGCCCGGGCCTGTTTGCTTTTCCACACAAGCTTATATCTGGGTGGCTAAGACCGAGTCTGATGGGGGTCTCGCTGCTGGTTCAGCCACCACCACCTGAAACTTTTCTCAGGGGGCTCAGCAGTGGATGGTGGTCGTACTGTCCTCTAAGCCTGCCCTGACTATCATCAGGAAACAACCAGCCATAGGGACAGTGGACCCTGTTCCTTCTCTGACTATGGAGCCATTTAAAAAGCTGTTCTTAATGTCTTGGTGGAGGCTTCTTCCTAAATTCTCTCCCATTTCGGTGGACTGTTGGGCTTGAATGGACAGCCCAGTCCTGACTAATTTAACCAGCAGAGGTGGCCGTGGGGAGGGAAGAGAAAGAGGGGGCAACCTGGGAAGTCTGGTGAGTCCAAGTCTCCGAGACCAGCCCCACGGTCCACTGTGGGCAGTGTCAGTCATGAAAGGTGGGGCTGTGATGGCCTAGAAAGCTGAGTGTCTGAGCTGGGCTGTGTCCTCACAGCACCTCCAAACTAGCTGGGGGTACTCTACCTCATAAAGAAGAAGCTGCAGGTAAAAAAAAAAAAAAAAAAAAAAACCAAACAAAAAAAAAAACCATTAAGGTAGGCTGGAGAGAGTGTTAATCCCGGTGGGTGTTTGGAGACAGAGGGGCATTTGGGAAGGAATGGTTATGAATGATGGCCTAGGGACAATGGGGGTGGAACCAAACGGACTGGAGTCCTGGAAATACAGTTGTAAAAGTCAGGATCTGTCACCACAGTATGTCGTGTGTGTGTGTGTGTGTGTGTGTGTGTAGACTCAAGGGCACACATGTGTAGATGTGTATGCACCTGTGTGTAAATGCATACGAAGGCCATGGATTAACCTATAGTGTTTTTTTGAAACCAATCTTTGCCCTAACTTTTGAGGCAGGGTCTGTCACCGAACTGGGGACTCACTGACTAGTTTGACCAGCAATAAGCTTCAAGGACTCCACCTTTGACTTCTCAGCTCCGGGGTTATAGGCGTATGCTGTCACCCCGAACTTTCTTCGTGGGTGCTGAACTCAGGTCCTCCCGCTTGCAGGGCAAGCCCTCTATGTCCAGAACCCACAGGGTATCAGTTGTGATTGGTTTATGATACAGCCAGAGTGACATGTGTCTTACGATATTGTTCAGGTGTTTGGATGAGTCCGGCAGATGGGTCTAGACTCTAGAATCCAGGGCATCATTAGGGACCCATGACCAAGTGTACACAGTCCCTGGTTTCCTCAAAAGAGACTCCATAGAATCTCCTCCTTCTCTGCATTTGACCCTTCAGAACTGTCTCCATTTAGATGTTGTCTGTAACCACAAACTCCCTATGGGCGGTTAAACTCCCTTTAGTGATTTGTTACTTTGGGCTGTGCACGTCCATATGGTTAAAGGTGACTATTGCAGAAGTCTTACCCCAGGGCTAGCCAAGACCAACAGCACAGAAGGACTAGCAAAGTTATCATTGCTCTGAAACCCTATTTCTCTGAGCGTGGACTAGAACTGTTAGTGTTCAAGGAGAGGCCTCTGCTTTTCCCATAAACGCTTGCTCCAAAGAGAATGGGCAGAATACTTCCAAGCAGAGAAATAAGGAGATGGATACAGATGAAGCCTGTGCACTATCATCAATGGGGGGGGTGGGGGAGGATGTAATTTCTATGAATTGGGTGTCAGGGATGGATCTGATAGCCTGCATGCAGAGCAGATGCTGAGATATTTTGATGTCGAGAATCATCTCTGCAGTCTCTGAAATACCGAGTTCAGCTTTTCTTCTCTTTCCTTGATGGCCTTTGGAAAGTGTCCCCTGGGCTGGGGCTTAGCCTGTGCTCTTATCTGCGGACAGGGTCCAGCGCACAGGCCCCACACAGCAAATGCCACAGTGCTGAGCTAACAGAGGACACTCAGAAACGCTGAAAGGGCCACAAGTCGATCTTTCTTAAATTACAAAATCTGCCTAGATGGTTGACTAAAAGCCATCTGGACGTGTTTGTGACTACCCCTGTGACCTTCATCCATCTTCCTTAAGCAGATTCCATCTCAGCTTATTGCAAAGAACAACCTGAAGAGAGATTTCAACTAGAAAGGAGAGTCAGGGGATCCTGGATAACTCATTGAGCAGAGACAATCCTGGTCCCTCGAGGGGCCAGTGGCTCCGAAGGTAATCCCTGGGGGTGTTCGGCTCAGGGGGAGGTGGGGTTGGAGTCTAGCTGGTTTCACCAGAGTTTGTAAGTGACATCAGCCTGCTAGATCTCTGTGAGGTCACTGGATTAATAATATTTACTTCCTAGGGATTTTGCTGAAAATCCAGGAAAATCGTGGGAAACACAAGCCACCTAGCAAGATGTCTGGTAAAGAAAAAGCCTTTGGTAAAGGAAGATGGCGACCACTCCTCATGTGTACGTGGTTACATGTGTTTGCTGGGTACCTGTCTGAGTGCAGCAGCCCTGTGTAGGAAGAGGAGTTAACAGAACACAGGCGAACACAGGCGGCAAATCAAGGCCAAGGGAGAGGAGCGTGTGGGCAGGGCATCTGTGAGGAATGGTGACCACGACTAATCCTCCATTTGGCATTTCTCATTTCTGAATGCTTAAAACTGCTGCCCGGTCTAAAGAAGATGGAGGCTCTACTGGAGCAAGCTGGTTAAGGAACTGTTATGGCTGTGACGGCAGACTGAGCTCAGCTAGTCACTGGGACTTATCAGCTCCTGGATGCAAAGTCCTGTTGTTTGGACAATCAATGGAGCAATCATAGGGCGCCGGGGTTTCTATTAGGAAGTCATGTGACCAATGGAATGTTAAGGAAACAGACTATGTTAAATAGCCCCATTTGGATCCCTGGGAGCAGACTCTTCATTCCATCTTTTTGTGGGGGCCGGAGTGCTGGAGTAGCGGCTCAGACATAATTTGCTGAATATAATAAATGAATCCATGCCATTTAGTTATGCCCCATTGCTTCCAGGGAATTTATGTACAGTGACCACGATGCTACGGAAACGTTTTCAGTGATATAAAATGAAGAAATACATTTTTATATAAATTATCCCCAGTCAGCCTGTTCCAAGAGCAACAGCAAAACTCCCGTGGTAAATAGGGACCGGTATTGACAGTGATTAATCAGGCTATCTCCTTTCCGCCGGTGACAGCATTATAATTGCAAATGATGCCCAGCAGCTAGGAAGTAAATTTCAAGAATTATAGAGATGGTAGATGGAACCATGCCCAGCAATTCAAAACATGCGCATAACAAAGCACGCACAACACACACACATACACACAAAACACAGACAAAAACTTGCATACATAGATACATAGACACACACATACACACACAGTTGCAGCTGCTGACTGTCTCCCGTGGAAGGCTCTAAGGTACGTCAGTGTCAGCTGAATGGAGTCACCACAGGTGAATGATTCTTCATCTCCCACGAGGAAGCAAAAACAAACATTTTTCTCCTGTCTTTCTGCTACCCGAGAGATAAGGTCAGAATGCCAAGTGGCAGGTTTTACTGGGGAGAAGGGTCAGAGGGCAGAGGTATTCAGTGACGAGAGAGCTCCCTGGGGGGAGGGGTTATCTCTCCCTTTACCTCAGGTCATTCCCTCCATCCTGGAGACCATCCCAGGTAGATCTCATGGCTTCCAGTCCTAATTTCCTGTCAGTTTGTGTCAGTATGGAACAGGAATCATGAAGGATCTTTACACACATGTGATAAATAGGGACAAAAAATTAATTATATTTTGGCTCATAACATTCTTTACTTTTTCACTTGTTCACATGTTATCTTGCTATCCAGAGCAATCAGCTTGGCAGGCAAGGGCCACAGTGCACACATTCCATGTCATTTTCTTCGTCTCCTAAGCACAAGGGCTTCACGCCAGGTGAGGCAGAGCATGGCGGTTGCTTGTTCCACAGCCCTTGGCAGAGGGGTCAGGATTACTCTTCAGCATGGCTAAGTGTGGTTTATATTTGGAGTTTGGAAGTGCACTGAATATGAAGCTATGAGAGAAGAAGAAGCTACGAGCTTGGATCCTGTGACAGCCTTTGAGCCCGGTGTCAGTCTCTCCCCGTGATGGAAGGACAGATTCAGATGATCTCCCAGGCTTATTCTAGCTCTGACTGTGTGGAAACTTTGGGATTAAGAAATGAATACATAGATCACCTTGCTTTCAGACTTTGTGGTGGTTCGGAGCTCAGGCTGAGGATTCAGGATTCCTGTTCAGGCTGGGTTTCTGAGAGGCTCTCCAATTCTTCCAAGATTGCTTATGCTGCCTACAAAGTAGAGGGTAGCAGATTCCTGAGTGCGGAGAAGACACGCTCCCCCAAGGACATCCATCATAACCTCTGCAGTTTCTTATTCAAGCTTGGGTAGGGTTCATCCATGCCTTGACCTCATTCACCTCGGTGTTGTCAATTGATTTTTATTAATCTTTTAAAAATATTTGTATGTGTGTGCGCGTGCACATGTGTGCATGCATGGGTGTGTGCCAATGAGTGTGTGGAGGACAGAGAACCATTTTGAGAGATGGTCCTTGCCTCCTTTCTGGTTTGAGGCGGGGCTCTTATTGTTGGATGCTGTGTCGTGTACTCCGGGCTAGCTGGCCCATGAGCTTCTGAAGGATTCTTTGGTCTCTATCTCCCACACTGCTGTAAGAGTGCTGGGATTAGATACATGAACCACCGTGTCCAGCTGATTCCACGGATTCTGGAAATCTGTGCAGCAAGCGCTTACTTCTGATCACCTATCTGGCTCCACCTTCATTTTAATTCTTTAAAAAACACATGACTTTATATTCTCATAAGACTAGGGCCAGAAAGGAAGTGCACTCAGAAAAGTAAGACCTGTGCTGGAGACACAAGTAAGCCTGATCCTCAGAGTCTGGGTCAGGATTCAGGGATCCTTCTCAACACTGACCTCTGAGAGTTTACAGGTGAGGAGAAGGTCAAGATCCTGAGTGTAGGACGAATGTACGCTGTGTCATCAATACAGTTGGACTGCAGAGGCCCAGTGTGGTCCACAGGTCTAGAAGGGATGAAACCGAGCAGAGTCTTGGATGCTGGGCAGAGTTTGTGTCCTTGGCTGAACGGTGCTACTGAAGACAGCAGCAAGTTAGGATTATGTTTGAAGGGTCTGGCGATCTGGGATGCAGCCTCCAACTGGAGCCCCTGGAGAAGCTGAGGCAAGTGTGACCTGGGATCTGGGGGGAGTACCACAAGCCAGGCTTGGGTCAGGGCCAGGGCTGCCAGGCTAATTGAAGTCACCACTTTAATTGCAGGCTACTCCAGCTGCACACAACACACTGAACACTAAGTATGCAGGGCATGTCTGGGATTAAAAGTAGATCGCACAAAAAGCCATGAGCTCTGGGCTGGAGGCTCCTTGTCAAGAGCTCTGGAAGGAGATGGAGATGCAGGAGCAGGAATTAAGAGTCCCAGAGAAGGAGATGATTTTAGGCATCCCCCTGCGACTAACTGTATTATTTTAGAATAGAGAAGCTGAGATCTGGACATTTTGCTGTTGTAATGCTATACATGGTTTTTAAAAGATGTTTCGCAACAGCAACGGGACTGGATTTACTTCGTTTACAATGTAGAATATTCATTCTGGGGTAATCGCTCTGTTTTGACTTCATAAAACTGCTCAGAGATTGCTATAAAAAGATGACTCTTTAATTAGGATCGGTATAGTTACTTATAATTTATTGCTTAATGAAAGTAAAAAAATGTAATTTACTTTCTGTGGGTTTGAATTTAGAATGAATATTAGTCTGTGGTTCATTACATAGAAACATAAAGGCTAGGGGTCTTAAAGGACTAGAGGTTTTTGAGTATCTCTTTAAAATATGCATGCTCATCCATCTGTAAATACTGCATCAGTAGGCTGCCTAACTGATGGGATTTGAGGAGATAAAGTAACTCTCTAGTCAGCTGGCATTCAAGAGTCTGTTAAAGGAGAAGCACCACATCGTTTCCATGTACGACTTGGTGGATCCCCCGATCCTCCCCCCTCCATATACATAAGCATGTGTGTGTGTGTGTGTGTGTGTGTGTGTGTGTGTGTATGTGTCTGTATGAGTGTTGTACATGTGCACATGCATGTGTGTGTGTGTGGCTTGTGTGCACCTATTCACGTGTATATGTGTGTGCCTGAAGAGGCCAGAAGAGGGTATTGGATCTCCTGGAGATGGGTTTTTACAGGCAGTTGTGAGATGTCAGATGTGGGTAGAAGGAACTGAACTAGAAACTTCCGAAAAACCAGCAAGCACTCTTAGTTGAGGAGTCATTTCTTCAGCAACAAGATAAATATTTTCAAGTATTAAATGAATAAACATTTTTAAACATGATTATTGGCAATTTTATATCTCCTCTGGAAAAATATCTATTCAAATCCTTATTATTGTTATAAATATTATCATATTATTAACATTATATATTATATAATTACATAATTATGTAATTTATTATTATATTAGTTATATAATTATGTAATTTATTATTCTTATTCTTATTATTTTGGTCTTGTTATGATTCCCCAACTTGAAATTCTCCTGCCTCAGCCTCTTGGGTTTTGACATATTTGATTGGTTGCTTGAGCATCTTACTTTCTTTCTCTCATCTAAGACCTTTCTTTCTCTCTCTCCAAGTCCATTGGCAGATTCAGGGTCTGTGAATATTTTCTCTCAGTCTCAGTTGCCTTTTTCCTTGTTTTGCAGTCCACATATTTTAAATTTGAAGGAAGTCTACTTTATTCTTCTCACCTGCTGTTTGTCCTTTTGGCTTCATCTCTGAGGAGCCATTGTCTAAATCTAGGTCAAGGAAATCTGCCTCTCTCTTCTGTCCTGGTCTGCTTATAGTTTTAGGCTTATCACAAGGTTCTAGAGTACATTCTGAATCAATTTTATATAGAAGTTTTCTTCTCAGCCTGGCCCTGAGAAATTTCTAGGATCTATGAGCTGCCAAGAAGCTCTGAGTTGCTTCTTTTGCCTCCTTGCTCATAGGGCGTGATCCACTCCCTAAGAGGATGACGTCAGCCCTGTTGCTAAATGAGCAGGACACCTGATTCTCAGGCTCTGCCCTGCCCTGGTGAGTCCCAAAGTAGTGGAAGCCGACCAACTCTGCCCTGCCTACATAGACCTGAGACCCAGTGTTTTCAGAAGGAACCAAGATGCCTTCTAGGTATCTGAAACTGAAACCACAAGCTCCACTGGAGTCCTCAAAGCCCTGAGAACAACTTTTTCTTAGAAAGTACGTGTAGTTAGAGAAATAAGGCACACAAAACCGATCAACACCTTTTATGGGAAGCATTAGTGACAAATGGATAAGACAAAATGACATCCAGCACCTTGAGATGGTGACCTTTGGCCAAAGGGAGTGATAAATCTTGTAGTGGGGATGGGGAGTGAGGGTAGGGAACCAGCAAACCAGGAAAAGGAGGCAGTCCGTCACAGGGGGACTATGGGGCTCAAGCAGTGGGCACTCATTTCTCCACCCCTGGGCACCAGCAGAAAATCCCCAGCACTATAAACACATTAGAAGCCCTATTATTTGCTAGTGCCCCAAATATGTGATGGTTTCTTTTCATAAGAAATCTCATTTACTTATGTCTTTTCTGAGTTCTAATTACTTTCAAAACAGTGGGTTTTCTTAGGCAATACCTACCACCTCCACCGTTTCCCTCGGTCCCTCCTCTTATTGTTCCCCTCCCCCCAATGATCCTCCCGATGTTCTTGTGTATGTTGTGTATGTAAATCTAGGTTGTGTGTATGAGAGAAAATGCTCAATATTTTGTGTTTCCTTGCCTTCATTTTCTTCCCTTGTTTTTTCCCTCCCCCCCAGAGTTTCCTCTTCTGCTTCCTATGTAGACATCTAAGTAAATATCCATTTAAGTCTGGATTCTTCACGTGAGAGAAAAATGTGGTGTTTTTTTTCC